GTAAAAATTTGAACTCAATGTATCGTAACAGACGCCTTAGTAATGTTCTCTCTCTTCGTTACAGACCGTCACAAACATTATTGAGATACGATCATAGACCGTAAATCAATAATAATTTTTAGATACACCTAACAATACGAGAATTTTCTTCTGGATATTTAATCTTATGTTTTATATCCTCTTGCTCATCTGCTTCTTGTCAACTTGTAGTATAAACATGTTCTAATAAGAAATATTTTTCATTGATGAAATAGAAAAACAAAAGTGATTTCATTGTTGACTCAAAAATAATTATATTCGTAGTGTTAAAAATTAATCGCACAGAATTTATCTTATTTTGAAAACAAAGATACACATTTAAAATAAACTTTATCCTGTAGATTGCAAAGATTTTCGTGCTACATCTAATGATATATTCTGTTTTTTGTTTTCAATAAAACATATAGAAATTACAAAATAAAATGTAAAATGTGGCCAATTATTATGGGTCACTTGTCTATGACTATTATGTTAAATCAAAATAATGATCAATCACATTACATAAATTTGCCATAACAAAAAAACATCAATGCTTTTATTTATCAAAAAAAAAAATCAATGCACTTTCATTCTTCTCCGGTCAATACCGGAGCTAACGGATACATAGCATATTTCTTTGTTGATAATGTTGTTGTATAAGTAACATAACGTTGAAAATCTTGTTCATCATACATAACATTTTGTAAATAAAGTCCATTAATATCAAGAAGTTTATCTTCATTATTGATAGATAATTTTTTATTTGATGAATATAATTGTTGTTCAAATTGTTCAAGTGTTAATTGTCCTTGTGCTACTTGAATAAGTTCTGTTGTTAAACGTCTTACCATTTGATAAAGAAAATTCGTACATGTTAATTGTAAACAAAAATTAGTTGAAGGTTTTAATTTAAAATTTGAAAATAAACTTGAAGTTTCTGATAATTTTATTTCAACAATACGATGAGTATCTTTTAAAAGATTACGAGCTTCAGGTAATGTAAATGATGAATAATCAATTAAACGATTATGAACAAGTAATATAGCTGAACGAAGTAAAGATAAACATATTGGTGATGATAAATAAGTATTTAATGGCTGTTCTATTACTGTTATTGATGGATCTGTCTATAAGAAAATATTTTGTTATTCAAGCAAAAACAAAACAAATAAACAGAATGAATTTAATGAAAAAAAGACTTACTGTAAATTGATATAGATATGTACGATGTACAGCAGCTAATTTAGGTTCAAATGCATCATGAACAAAACGTGCATCAAGTATACGCATTGTTCGATTTGTTTCAATAAGTATTCGATTAAGATTAAATTTAAACCATGGAATATTTAATTCACCTGTACCTAATTTTTGTTTACCAGGTAATTCAAAATCAATAGTCTATTCAAAAATAAATAAATATAAGTGAATTATTTATTTAATATATATAATTAAAATATTTACAGCGGTATTACATAATGAATGTACATTACATTCTGTATATGTTGAAAGTAATATTTTTGGTCGTCGAGCAGGACAAAAACGAAGTATAGCTTTTTCAAGAATATCTTGAAGAAAATTTGTTGATGATATAGGTTTATTTAATGCAGAAAATGTTCCTTTTATACTATATCCTCGATAACATAGATATACAAGGATACGCATTGATATCTAAAATAAGAAAATATTATATTATATAAAAAAATGTTTTTGTTTTATATTATATTTTAGAAGAAATGCATATTTTATTGATTGTATTGATTTGTTTATCTACATTGTGTCAAACAAATGGATATCGAGGTCCATTTCGTCGATTATATCCAACAGGAAAACCGACTATTCTTGAAGTTAATGATGATCCTGGTGAACCACTTTTTCTTACATCTTATATTGAACAAGGAAAAATTCAAGAAGCAAAAAACTTAAGGTTAAATTTTATTTTGTTACTTTTCTTATTTAATTGTTTTGTTTTTTTTTTTTTCTTTTTAGTTTAGTTGAATTATTACCATTTAAACAACAATCATTTTCGGGTTATTTAACTGTTAATAAAGAATATAATTCTAATATGTTTTTTTGGTTTTTTCCTGCACAAAATGGAAATAAACCTGATACACCAATTATGCTTTGGTTACAAGGTGGTCCAGGTTCTTCATCATTATTTGGATTATTTTCAGAAATAGGTCCTATTTATATTGATTCTAATGGAAATATACAATTACGTCAAATAACATGGAATAAAAATTATCATTTAATTTTTATTGATAATCCTGTTGGAACTGGTTTTAGTTTTACATCAAATGAACAAGGTTATGCACATACACAAGAAGATGTTGCACGTGATCTTTATTCAGTATTAACACAATTTTTTCAAATATATACAGATTATCAATTAAATCCATTTTATGTCACAGGTGAAAGTTATGCTGGTAAATATGTACCTTCGATAACATATAAAATTCATGTTGAAAATCAAAATCCACAAGTAAAAATTAAAATTAATTTAAAAGGTATGACTATTGGAGATGGACTATGTGATCCAATTAATCAATATATGTATGGTGATTTTCTTTATCAGGTATTATAATAAATAGGAGAGATCTTCTACAAAGATTACAAATTCGATTTGATATATAAAAGTCTTTTGTCGTATTTAATCTATATGTTAGTCTCAGACTCAGTCAAAATAAAACTATTTCAGAAAATAATCTATTATCATTTTCTTTATATAGATTGGCCTTATTGACCAAACTCAAAAAGCATATGTTGATTTACAAACGGCACTTATGCGTTATGCTATTGAACAAGAACGATATCTAGATGCATTCCAATTATTCGATGCTCTTCTCAATGGTGATCTACTTAATACAACATCTTATTTTTATAATATCACTGGTATCAAAAATTACTTTAATTATTTACTAACAAATGCTCCAGAAGATCAAGGCTATTTTGTTTCATTTGTAACTCATCCTGAACGACGAAAACAAATTCATGTTGGTAATATATCTTATGGTAGTCAAAGTGATATTGTTGAAAAAATGATACTTAATGATATGGTAAGAAACAACATGAGTCAAGATTTGTTTTTCATACGCATGAAATACTTCAGTATCTTGAATAAGAAAATCATGTGTTACGGATACATCGTGAGATTCTTTGACGATTTTAAGCGCGTATAAGGATGATAAAAAACACTACGGACTACGCAAGTTACTACTATAAGTTCGTTCTAATCGCAAACTAGCGATAATAACAGCAGTGTCACATATCCAGGAAATCGGGGATACCGGAGAAGTATAGGGAGATGCGGCATCTCCCGTCTAGGTTCTAGGCTAAAAATCAATAACAAATTTTCATTGGGAGATGCCGCATCTCCTGAAGAGATGTCGTATCTCCAACATAGGCATCTCTCAATGAAAATTTGTTATCGACTTTTAGCCTAGGATCCAGACGGGAAATGCCGCAGCTCCAAGCACATCTACCCAGGAGACGCGGCATCTCTACGCATATCTCTCCAGCGACGATAAGGGAGGAAACACACACAATCATATCCATAATATAATCCTCTGTTAATAGTTAGTTTGGCATCTCCCTGCACTTCTCCAGTATCCCCGATTTCCTGAATATGTGACACCTCTCTCAAAGTTTCAAATCTTTTGATTGTTTCTATCCTGAGATATCTCTACAGTAAGTGTATGTTGTTCTTGTCGATCATATACGATGGCAAAGACCGATGTTGTTAGTTTAGAATGGGTGCACTCGACAAATATAAAACTTTTACAATAAACTATTCTCGCTAAGACCTGCGCCTATGCAAAGTTTCAAGTTGAAATTGGCAACTTAGTTTTCCTGATGTTCCAGAGGGCGACCACAACACTCTACCTAAAAACACAGCATCTCAGCAAGAATAAACTATTAGCTTGGATGCTTTTCACGCTATTCATAGCTAATTAGAACTTGCATAGTGCACATAATCCTGACTCAAAAGACTTCAAAACTTTCCCTCATATGTAATCACATATGTCTACCCTCGTAGTTAGTCAGTGTGTACGGAGAGCTTAAGTGATTAAGCACAAGAACTCTGCATCAGGTCGATCTTCTATCCAAAGCTACAGCTAGTATTAGTTGTAGAAAAGATATCGAACTAATGAATCTACTACTAGGCAGTATCATCATATACCGCAAAGTAGCTGAAAGGTAGAGATATACTTCTTCTTGTATGATGTTCATAAGTTCAGCGCATGAATTGTTTTAATTGTGTACATGACTCAAATGCTTGTCTTATATTCTGTAATAAAAAAAAAAAAAAAATCTTATTCTAGATGCAAAGTATGGCTTGGAAAGTAGCAGCTATAGCAAATGCAAATTATAGTGTCATGATCTATAATGGTCAATTAGATATTATTATTGCTGTACCATTAACAATGGAATGGGTTAATGAACTTAATTGGTTTGGTACTAATGAACTTCGTCAAACACAACGAATAGTCTGGAAAGTTGCTGATAGTGATCCTGAAATTGCTGGTTATATAAAAACAGCAAATAAAAATCGATTTTTTCTTGCAACTATTCGTAATGCTGGTCATATGGTACCATATGATCAACCACGTGCAATGCTTAATTTACTTGAAAGGTTTTTATCTATGCAACCAAAATCTCTATGAAAGTACAAAACAAGAAAAATGTTGATTTTGTTTTTTTGTTTATTTAACATTCATTCATCTTTTTTCTTTTTTTGGACGCCAATTCTTTTGAAAAACAAAACAAAACAAAAAGAATAAAGATTTTTGTTTTTTATATTCTTAAGTATATAAATTTTTTTGAAAAACAAATATTCAAATATACAAATAGATATGAGATTGATAAGGCAACGAGATAAAGGATAATTATCTGGATAAGACAAAAAAAAAAAAAAAAAAAAGAAGAAAACAACATTTCACAAAGACTAGAAAATGGGCTCGTAGAAAGATTTTTTTTTTTTTTTTCTAAAGGCGATCATGAATATCTTCTTGATCAATCATATTATTATCATACACACTGTTGTTTAATGACGGAGAAGATTTAGCTGCGGCAAGATCAAAAGATTCTTCCAAAAATTTTAATATCATTTCATAAAGATATTCATATTGAGCCTAAAAAGAAAAATAATTTCAAAATAAATAAAAAACAATGATTTTTTCCGGTAACATACAAGAGATGTTATCATTGCAACGCGTTGTCGTTGTAAGGCACGTACACGTTGAAATATGTCAACAGCATGTTCATTCTTCAATTGATCCAATAGCATAACACACATACAAAATATTGAACAAGATGGACCACCATTTCTAATCAATATTAAAAAGAATTAATATACATAATATATTTATTTCTCAGTAATATCTAAAACAATTCGGTTACATTAGCCTATGAAACATATTAGCAGTGTGTTTGATACAGTAGTATAAGGGCTGAGGAGGCGACGTATCTTCACAATCAGATTAGCCCAATCGAAATCTGAATTTATTGTGTTATGCAGCATTTGTTTGTGCTGCGAAAAAAATATATATTTGCCCTTTCGGAAGAAGAAATTTCGAGATTGATAATAGTTTCGTTTTGTGAATTATATATACTACGCGAGTAATGAAATTAGTCCGAAATAAATAATCTAGGATTATTGCTCTTGCAACTCTTTCTACCATAAAACTAGTAGTTATGTAATAGAAATTAGTTAAAGACCTCGTCCTTATCATCAATCGTCTCAATATTACGATATTGGTTGTCAGTGTAACTCAAAGTACACATTCATGCACATCCTTGATATATCAATCTAGCTCAAAATATAATTCTATACACGCGAATAATCTATTATTAGTAATACTTCGCTACCTATAAGGTAATTTGGAAGTTGATGATGTGTTGAAATAATGTTTTAACAGAAAACTTATAAATTCAATTATTCACAAGATCAAAATAACATTTTTATTTCAATCATCATATTCAATTTCAATTGTACACTCATCAAAATAACAAGATCTTAAAACAGAAAAACAAATAAAATAATGAATTTCTTATTTTTTGTTTTATTTCAAATCACTGATATTTCATTATTTTATATCAACCTTAACACGACGACCTAGAGACCATGTGAACTTCAGCGACCTCTATCACACTTACAAATGCTCATCGTCCAGATATGTATGGAAGACACTTAGTGCAGTACATTGATAACATCAGTCAATCATACGCAATTATTGCCGTTAAACAGAGTAATTCAAAGTATATACTGAATAGTGTTGTACGATTTCAAATGTTTCGAAAATCGAGAACTAACTGATGGACGGTAGTCTTCACGTGTGGTATATGATAAATTAGCAATAACTTTCGTGTATTATATTTATCTCATCTATGCAGATCTGCAAGGACTCTAGATAGATAACAAGTGATAATCCTACAAATTTAAACAGAATATGATGGTTTAAATTTAATTATGAAAATTCTTAGACTTATTTCGTTTATATACATTATAGGTAAATAATCATACCCGGAATGAACAGTAATATATCGATCATGATTAGTTGTATGTTGTCGTTTATTAATATAACCAATAAAATCAAATAAACTATTTGTTAAAATACTTGGTAAACATTGTCCATTCTCAAATTCATCATTTGCACTTATAGGAAGAAGATATTCAAAATGATAAATTGTTTTTGATAATGCTTCACGTGTATCTGTTAAACAAAATTCTCTTATAATCATTTTTTCTTGTATTACGTCTTTTTGTATTAATTTTAATAATGTTGTTGAACCAATTTTCATTGTTGTATCAAAATCATTTGGATAATAAATTGGACATTTTGGAGATGACTAAAAAAATAAAATTCACAATAAAAATAAGATTAAACTAAAGATAATTAATAAAACATTAACTAACATCAGTTATTGTATGTAATTGTACAATACAATTTGAATCATGTTCAATAAACATTCGCCAAAATTCATGAATTGTTTCTGATAATGGATCTTGAGTTATAATAAATGAACATTCATGAGAATAACCCTATTATATTTAATTAAAGTTTTTTTTTTTCTTTTGAAAGAATAGTAAATCGTACTTCAATAAATGATCCATTGATGTATGGATGTCCGAGTATACGACTTAAACAAACACGATTACGATCATCTATATTAAAGAGAAATATGTTTAGTATTAATTTAAATAGATATCAGAATTTAGAATCTTTCTCATAAACTGTTGAAAAATAAATCAGAGATGGGAGTAAGTAATTAAAAACAATAACAGATCCCTGATATGAAATAAATATATGTGGGATTAGTACTTGAACCAAAAATATTAGTTTCGTTCTTATCTATGGAAGCAATTAACAATAAGAAACTATAATTTCAAGTGAAAATGCTTGTTTAAATTGAAGCGTCGTTTTCCCTAAAAGAATCATCTTGACGTATATTATCTTATAAAAAGCATAGCATCAGATGATACATCAAATTTGACTTCAATGAATTATGAAATATTCGAAAAGAATATGTGTCCTTAAGAGTCTTCCTTCGAGAATTATAATCATGTTGCTGAAATTTCATCCTATGATACGGTGTATATACCAACAAATCAAATATGATGGTATTATAACGTGAGTTTTTCTCGTAGTCCGGATCCTAGTCTCTACAAAATGGTTATAACTCTGGAAAGAAGACATAACAGTACTTATTCTTTCCAAGTTTCTAATACGTCATTGGAATCTATGTTATGAGCTTGCATGTCAGTTATATCCTTAGACATCCACAGGCCATCGATGATGTTTTTCAAAATGGTGTAAGTCAAATGATACACGAACAAAAAATATTCACGTATCGGAAAAACTGAGTACCAATCGTCCGGTGGCAAAAAGCGCACTGAGAGAATATTTTTTTAAAAATTTCGACTTGTGTATGTTTACGAAGAAAGAACAAAATTAAACACCTTTTCTTTTGCTTCTAATTTGAATATTAATTAAAAACATGAAATCTTACAAGGTACTATTTGTGGATGACGATTTTTATCAATATTATCCGCTAAATAAGCATCACGTTGTGAAACATTTTCAACAGGTAATAATGATAATTTCTAAAGACAAAAATAAATTTGGATTTAATTTTATATCAAATTTTGATTGTTTGTTTTTTTCCACATACATTATATTCTAAAATTAATAAATTTTGTTTATGTTTTTTTAAATTTGTATATGTTGATCGAAATTTATTTGCTTCAATTCTTGTATTTCCATATAGATAATATTCAAGTAATGATCGATATATAAATACATATTGTCTCTATTTAAAACAAAAATTTTAGTTTTTTGTTCTTTATGACTTTTTTTGTTTTTATTTTCATATAATAACATACCACTGTTTGTACCATTAAACTACGTTCACGTCGCATTTGTAATACAAAATTATATATATTAATTTTTCCTTCTTGTTTTATTTTATCAATCATTGCATCTATTGCAATATAAGTACCTGTACGACCAACTCCAGCTCTACACAACACAAAAAATTTTTTTTAGATAGAAAAGAATATTTTTTTTTTCGCTTACGTGCAATGAACAACAATAGGATATTGTTCAGGATTTGTTTGTTCATTGACTTCATGTATTAAATGAAGTAATGTATGAGAATCACTTGGAACATCCATATCTTTCCATTGAGTATAATGATATTGAATAACAAGACGTGATTGTTGATCATCATTAATTGAACTTATTGTTGATAAAGATACAGCATCATCAATAGGAACAATTGATGATGGTGAAGATATATCTCCGTTCGTATTTATCTTATAAAATTAAAATAAGAAAAAAAAAAATTTTTTTTTTTTTTTCCTTTATTCAACCTACTTTAGCTAATTGAAAATAACGTTTATCATAATCACCTATTGATATTACATCAACACAAGTTACACGATATGAACCATAAGTTATTGTTTGATCAAGTTCAGGCCAATATTGATGGCATTTTGTCTTTTGAAAAATAAATAATTAAAAAAAAAACAACGAATATTTAGAAGAAAATTTACCATTCGTGATGCACCTTCAATAACATTTGTTAACATAACAACAGATTTTATTTTAAGTTCCCATATCATACGCCATAAATCTTCACATGTATCAGATTTTGGACCTTAAATAATATTTTAAATATATCTATAAATTATTCATAATTATATTTATTACCTTGTGTTGCAATAAATTTATTGGGACATTTATAACCCTATATAAAATATAACAAAAAACAATTTGTATTTTCAAAAAAAAAAAAAACGAAAATTCAATCTAATTAACAAACCGAAATATAATTTCCATTGATATAATCTGTAGCTGGATCATCATTTAATAGACTAAGAATAACTCGTGTAGCATCAATAGGTAAAATATTAAGAAAACGATTTTTTGATGAAACAATTGCTCGAGTTGCAGCTGTACATGGTAATTCCTCAAAATTGGGAATACTCTAAAAAAAAAAGTAAACAAATATAATAGAATAAAGATTTATCATATTTTCGATATATTCAATCGAAAGAAAAAATTAAAAGAGAGATCATATGATTGAGTAGTTTTCATATCTCATCAAAATATCCTTATAATCGCTAGAGATCATTAGGTTCGAATCTGAGAATTTTCTGTCAAATGAGTCTAAATATACCTCTAAGGCAATATTTGATGCACATAATAACCTTAATCAAATCTTTTTTAATCTTATTCGAAAAGAAATCTTTAATTAAATTTAAAAAAAAAGAATCACATACTTCTTTATTCTATTGCCTACAGCAAATTGTCATTACTATGTAATCCATCGAATTCATTCTTAATCTAAATTCGACTGCAGTCAAGTACAGAAATAATTTCATTTATAAGTAACCTAATGAACTCTACTAATTTCACAAAAACATTTGCTTATCTAGAGTAGGCACCTTCTGAAGTTTGTAGTTACAAATCTGTGTTCCTACAAATAGAGATATTCACCTTCCTGGACTTTTAAATTACCTGTTTGAAAAAGAAAATTTAGTTAAAAACACTATACTATCAAATTCTTGAAACTTACTTTAAATTCAATAGCAAAAGCCAAATCATCCAAAGCATGTTTTTGCATATAAATATCATATAATTGTTCTACTGGAAATTCTTCAGGTATAGTAAATTTACCTATAAAAATCAATGAAGAAACTTATCAAAATATTTTTTTTCCAATTTTAACAATAAATAACAAAGATAGAAAATTTATTTTACATGCATATTATCATAAAGAAAAAGAAGTCATCTATATAGAGAGTGTTCAAAACTAATACTACTTGAATAGAAAACAAAAACAAAAAAAAGGAAAAACCTACTATAACCAATATTTGTCGATAGTGAATCTGTCGAAAACTTAGTTGATATTGTTGATAGATTATCATCAAAACGTTGTTGATATTTAACATTTGATAATGAATAATGTCTTCTTGTTGGTATAGAATAAAATTTTTGTCGACGATTTCGATTGTAACGATTAATTGATATATTAGCTGAATCAAATGAATCAGCTAAAGATGATTGTTCACTACCCATTTATAACGTCTATATATCTATTCTCTAACTATTTTGACTAACTATCTATAGTGTTTAAGTTACAAAGAAAATTAAAAAAAAAAAACTATCACACATTGTCATTCTAATCCACTGCAGACAGAAACTAATCCTGTTTATGCTTACCATGAATCGGTGAATGGGATAATGGTGTATTGTCTCGAGAATCTTTTGCTTCCGATGACGAATGTATACAAGGTAATTTAAAATAAGCAATACTTATACGTCGTCTACGTGTCAATTAAAAATAAGAATAATTTAAAATATTAAAATTTGTTTTGTTTTGTTTTTTTTTTACCTGAGTAGGAATGTAAAAATAAGTGCAAGAAAAATAAAACCACTAAAACTACAAACAAGTATAATAACAAATAGAGTTGCATTTGATGATGATGTATTTATTTTTAATGTTGTTGATGAATATAATAGAACAATTAAATCATTTGTTGTTGTTGTTGGAATATATTCTATATTAGAAGTTGTTTCATAGGTATTTATATATGTTGTTGGAGATTCTATTGTAAGATTTGTTGATTGAATTTTTGATTTTATTCGTACAAACAATGCTGATGTTATTGGTAAATCTGTTGTTGTTGTATGTTGTGTAGTTGTAATAGCTAAATATATTGATATAGTTTAACCTTAAGACAAAATTTATGAATTTCATTTTTTTTTTTCATTATAACCCTTTGAGTCCCGGTGGGATATATACATCCCACCTAAAGAAAAATTCTAATTTTCAAAACATTTCACGAGTGTTTGTGGTTTTTAAGAACCAGAAGGAAGCCTTTGAACATATATTTTTAATTAAGAAATATTTGAGCGAGATTTTATAAATATTCATAAGAATAGACAATATCAAAAAATGTATTATGATAAGTTTATTTATTAATTTCAGAAAGGAGGAATTCCAAATTATGAACTTGGTATCTCAAAACGCCTCAGTCTATTTCCATTATCCTAAGAATTAGCATTCATTCCTAATTATTTTTCACAAGTTTATTTTACGTTTTGTAACCACTCATTTTTTCGTGCCTGCGGTCCCCCAGGGATTAAAAAAAAAAAATTTTTGTAGCCGTTCTCTTAGATGTCGTTATAGTTTGATAGAGCTCAGTTTGCTGATTACAAATATCATGTTTTTTCTAACAATTAGTTGGATAATAAGAAAGATCTGAAGCACTTTCTGAAAGTCCCCAAAACCAGTTTTTGATATGAACGTCCATGAAAATCCTATTTGAATTAAACAAAAACAGGCTTGTTCGACGCAGAATTTTTTTCTCTACCAGAATCTATAAGAATCCTTAAGATATTGAAAACTTTTTCTATCGATAACTGTCGAATACCGCTCCGATTAGGCCCTATTGCTATGAAGAATGACTTTTCCTCTCCTTAGAGGTTATTGTTTATACG